GAAACACTGTAACTGGCGATGCTTTTTATGAAGCGTTCAGTGTACCTCGGAAATCAGGGTATTTCCGATCTAGACACTGACAATGTTGACGTTCTGCCCTTCGCATCAGCAGTATATTTTCCAACATATTACAAATGCGCTACACAAAAAAAAAAATGTTCTATTTGTGACACGAGAACAGAAATGAACACCGTGTGCGTGGCCCATCGACCTAGAACACTTTTTAAGGTTCATCAAAAACATTAATATGCAAATAATACGATAGCCCAAAGAAAGAAAGAAAAAAAAACATACGTTAAGCAGTAACTACAATCAATTTGTCTATTACACAAAATCGCGCCTGGTGTTGACGTCAGCAACCGTTTAGTTTGATCTTTAAGACGTCACAAAGACTTGAAAGAATATGTTTCAGGCGAAAAATCTCTTTCATCAACGCGTAAATTGAGGTATAAATTAATCGCGCTTGTGCCTTCTGGAGTCCACTGAGATTGTCGCCGCTTTGTTGCAAGCACGTCGAGAACTTTTTCCCACGTTCATCGCTTCGAGCATCCATTTGAGGTAGGATGGCAATTACATATTTAATGCTGAGTTATACAAGGATACGTTTAGATATTTTTCGGGGTGGTTGAAGGATTGCACAGCTCTTATGTGACAATTAAACATGATTTATGTCAACATGTTCTTGAATGCTTTAACCATCACTTTATTTTTTGTCGTGAATTTATTTTGCGGATAAATGCTGTTTTGGTGATGAATTACATGGAGGTTTGAGGAGGAGAGTTAAATTGAGATCTGATTAAATAAAGTAAGGTGAAGTTATGTAAAGGAACTTTTTTGGGGGCATGTTAGTGTTTGAAGCTGTTGGCATTTTTGGTGTTTTTATACAATTTGAGTATTAGAGACATGGCACTTGGATGAGAATGCCTGTGATGTGTGAAAGGGTGTGTAGAGGGCTGAACGGTGTGACTTGTCAGTGTTGCTGAAGAGCGCATGAGATGTGGAAGATCAGGAAGTTAGACTGTAATCCAAGGAATGCTTGCTTGTGAAAAGTGTCAAGATGAAAAGTCTTTGCAATGGAGAGAGATGGCAGAGAAAAAGAAGCCACCGTTTTACCACATGCTCTGTGTGTGTGTGTGCGTGTGCGCGCGCGCTTGCTCATCTGTAATATTACATTGTCTAATATCATTGTAATATAAAATATTGCATACTTGTCAAAATGTTGCAATATGGCGTCGCTGTACTTTGAAGTAGAAGTGATTGCTTTTCATTGTGATTTGATGGATGCGGGGTGAAAAGTTTTGCTCAGTCATCTGGGTTGCTTGAGAGCCTTAAAAGGCACCCAAAGCCTTCACTTTGAGCCCATTGGAGCTGAGAGGACAGGGGGGAAGTAAAGTGAGTATTGAGGAATAGGAACACAAGAGGAGGGCCTGTTGTGACTTTAGGAGGAACCGAGGCCTTAAGCGCGCTACATGCGCTTATTACATGAATTTGATACACAAAAGTGGGTCATGTACTTTTGAAGCATGTGATCATTTGGTCATAATGGTGGTATTGTAAAAAAATAAATAAGGTCAAAGCAGATTTTGGGCTACTGAATGAGTTAAGATGTTTGTGGCCAGCAGCTCGAATAACATTCACAGTACATAAGCATATGTGCTTTGATATTAAATGACAAATATTCTGACTAATATTCTCTTGACTAACTGCTTTCTTTGATCCATGATGTCACATAAAGCTCAGGATTCCTTGATGTCCTGGGAGTGTGAGGTGAAAAAGGTGGGGGTTGTAGATCAATTTGGGCTGTAATTGGGAAGCTAATCCAATCGTAGCAAGAAACTACAAGCCAGCTGGCAGAAACGCACGCACAGCTGGTGACTAGTCCTTGCCTTGGAGTAAGACTATTGCCGTGGTGACCCGCGGATCAATGACACTGCAGACAAACCAATCTTATTGGCTGTTTCATGAAAGCAGGGGTAGAGATGAAGGAGGGGGTTGGGACGAGGCAGGAAGGAGGCAAGTGAGGCAGCCTTGGTGAATGACGTTTCCCTGTGACTGGCCACAGATGGCAAACAATAGGCGACTCGGTTACTTTGCATAAGGGCAGCAGCATGACAACTTCCTTGCTTATTTTGCACAAATGAAGCCGCTCAAGTGTAGAAACTGAGTGACTGCACTGAATGAGGAAAGAAAAAGTCCTGAGATTGCTTGCATTTGGCTGAAAATCGAGACCAGCCAACTGGGCCCTTTTTTTTTTGTATGCTCCCAAGATTGCATTTGATGGTTTCGTGCTAGAAAAGTGTTGTCATTATTGCAATAAGCTTCGCAATTGTGTGTGTAATACAGATATAATCTGCACTTTTTTTGTTTTTGGCGACAAATCTTTAAAGGGGAAGTCAAGTCCAAAATGTTCTTAACAATAGAATAGTCTAAACATAGTATTCTGTTAATAATTGCATTTGTGGAACATGAGCTCATGAGCTAAACAGAAAACTCCACCCGCTTTTATTTCTTAATGGGGGCAGCCAGTTTGACTGAAAATGACATAGCAGTGCCTAAGGGCTCAGCTTGCAAATGTCACATGACCAGACATAAAACAGGTAAGCTGCAATCGGTCATGACCAGAGCCCATAGATTGCCAGACGTATTTACTTAAGTAATTGATTTCCATGTAAATTAACGTTTACAGAATGTAACAGTATATTTTTTCAAATAGTATGATACACTTGTTGTGGAGAGTCGGATTCTACATGTAATAAGAGAATTGATCAATGGGTCCTTTGGTGTGAACAGAAACTTGTGGCAGTGGAACAGGTTGCTACGTATGAAATTGGATGACGTGAGGCAAGGAGTGGCAATGAATGTGTGGACCGACGCGGCTGCCGGGCTGGTTGGACTTGAGCTGAGCTGATGACCTCACACGAGGATGTCACAACATTTTTTTTTTTTTTCAAATCACCGGCAAAGTGTTTTGTGTTGGAACTGCCTTGCATATGGCTCGGTAGATTTTGTTTGTGTGCGTCTGCGGGGATGTGGGCGTTGCCATTACATATTGTTTGGCTGACATTGGTCAGCACAAAGCAAGGCTTATTTTGCTGTCAGAATGCAAACACATGCACTGTCATCAGAATGGGATTGTGCTTATTGGCTGTTGCTCTTTGAGTTGCGCACTCGCATCAACACGCGTGCTTTAGTGGTTGGTTACTTATTGACTGCTGTATTGACACGACATCTGGGTGATCACCTGTCACTGAATAGGTTATAGGTGTTCCATGTTTATCAGTTTATGGGTAAGATTTTGCAAGAGACCCTCAGTTGAAATCGGGCCAATCACGTAACTATTCACCTAATGGTCATTAAAACACGTATTATTTCACAGGCTGGTGTAAACGAGTTCCTCGCTGAAATATTTTAACATGTGCATCTTCTGTAATGCAGCTTCAGAGCAGGCAACATGAGCTGGTCGTCAGGTTGTAAATATTCTCACAAACTGTTATGACACGTGAGAAGAGTCCACTCAGGGACAGTTTGCCCAACACTTGGCTGGATGAAATTCCCTTGAAGAGGTGTTGACAGCGCACCGCTTAAGCTGGACTGGACAACCAGCCACATAAAAATAGCATGTATATCCAAAGGCCTTATTGCTTACACCCACTGACAGGTTACTTAACGCAGTGATTGAGTAACATCGTAATTCCAAATTTGTCATATCGTGGAGAGTATCATCATTGTCACAATTATCGAAGTGGGCTCCACAGGAGCCATGAGTCACCCACTCGTATATGTAGAAACCTTGGGGCACTCCCTCTTGGCTGGTAAAACATTTCCCAACCAATCCTCTTTGGTATGGTATTTTGTCATTGAGAGTTAGTTAACACAAGTCAAATTTAACAGCATCCCCTTAAAATTGGAGGTAGGGATATTGGCGCTCAACTGTTGAGTTTCAGGCCTCTAAATGAATAAGTGGTTCCGGTCTGCCATATATGAGTCAGCTGTCTACTGAGTAAACTCGAGTAGATTGCGTGTACTGCAACTGATTTTTCATTCCATCGCATATATGATATACTGAATAAAGTATGAGATCATGGAACCTTTGAGACTGGCTTGTTTGGACTAAGAGGAGCTGCTTCACTCATCATATTTGGTCATTATTGTGCTGTGGCCTGTACTCTGCTGATTTAACAGAATCTTTATGGTCATGTGAGGACAGTCACATCCATTTAAAACTAGTAGCTTGAATTGAGGAGGAATAGTGGCCAAGGCCCTTAAAAAGGCATTGGAATATTTGCAACATGCTTAGAGGAAGAGGAAATGTGAAAGATGAGGAAGAGAGGTCGATGCTTTTTGCCTCCAACTTTAAATGGCTGTGTTCTACAAATGTGAATGAGACCGTTTGAATACCTGATAGAGGTTAAAAATGGACATGCCATCTTTTCGCAGAACACTTTTAGTGAGAATCATCTACAAGCAAGCAAACAGGCAGTCCTTGGCAAAGAAAGGGAAAGGGGTGGCCTACAAATGTGGTCATTCCCCAGTCGCCCTCTTTATGTGTGTCATGCTGGTGACCTGGTGATGCCTGTGTCTCACGATGACCCCCACACAAGCTTTGCAAAAGCCCACAGTAACGTCCTCGTCACCTCAATGTAAATCTGTCGTATCAGGCAGCATTAGGATAATTGCATTCACTGGGAGGTGCACAGTCTTGTCCATCTTAATGTGGAAGAGACCCCGTTCATTCTTGTGACAGTTTATGCGTGGCTTAATTTAACGTATGAAATGCTCTTATCGAGGGATTAAGCTAGCTGTGTTCTCCACATCACTCCATTCCCACTTTATTTTCTTCAATCCTTTCGTCATGATCGCCTCCCTCTCGCGAGTCGCCCTCAAATCGCTAGCGCCCAGTGCGCAGCGCCGCGTGCACGCGACGTGCCCGGCGCATGACGCTAGACCAATCAGAACGCGCGATTCCCAAAGTTTACCTTATATGGCGTGAGCCGGGCCACGAAGGTGGTATAAAACCCGCGTTCCGGGCTCGAGGTCCTTCACTCTGAGCACCGTCACACGCAGCTCGTGCGGGATATCATTTGCCTGAAACCACTTCCCTAAAAGCGAAAAGCCCCCCCACCCAAAAGGTAAAGGTTCTAATTTTACATTTAATCTTTGTATATACGACGCTGAGAATTTTGGGCGAATATATTAAAGCTCTAGTGATGTAATAAGTTTGACAACTGCTAGCGACCACGAGGTTCTATTGTGTGAACCTTTTACCACGGTTGGCCGATTAAAGCTCGAATTACTTAAAACTGTGCTTGCTTAGATTTTTTTTGTGTGTAACTGATGTTCAAGGCCAAAGACTAGCTTTAGCCTGCCTTTGGTGTTATTCGTCTTCTCAGCATTTGTAACCGGCTTATGAATGCAACCTTGTGAGTTGCGCTTAGTGGTGACTTAACGTGTATTTGACGCTGTACACTTGCAAACATCCAATCTGCGCCTTCCACGGCTTAATGGTTGTCGTCGACCAAGATGGTACTTGATTGGTGTTGAGGGTGTCTGGACTCTGGCTGCTCCTTTGTGCGCTCTGCGGCGGGGTGTGACCTACTTTAGCATGCTAGCTTAGCGCCGCCATCGTGCTGCTTGCCACCGCCCTTCATTCTTGTACTTGAATCAGATCAAACATTTCCGCTTCCTGGTACCAATAGGGGACTTGAATAAACGTTTAAAAAAAACTTAAGATATTTATTAAAAATACTGCGAAATATTGATGGGGTTTTTTTTTTGTGTTTAAGGCGTGGCTTTCGGGGAACTGTCATGGTCTAGACTGCACTGAGCATGACTCAAGACAAGCCGGTGCCTTGGGCTACATTTTAGATGGCGTCAACTTAAAAAAATGTTCTTCCGAATATGAGTAACAATAAGTGACGACGGGTTATTGCGTTCAGAGTGATCCGCCCCCAAAATGGAGCAATGAGAGAGAAGACGTAACAATGGACAGGAGGGAGTGGTCGCTGCAGTACCAGTTGACTGCTCTTCGTACTCTGCCGCCCTGGCTGTGCGCCAAGGCGCCGGTAGCGGCAAAGCTGCTCAAAACCCGAACCATGCCCTTATATGGTAACAAGAGCACACAGCGCCACTTCCTTTTGTCTGGCCACAAGGAATTTGGCTCGCGTTCTCCCTCTAGTGGCCGCCCGCGTCACTTCCTCCCGCAAGCAGGAAGTGACAGCGGTGACAAATCTGGAATGATTTCAAGATGGATGTTGTACTTTGAGTGTTAATGGCTTCCCCCCTCTTATTTTCAGTTCAGCCATGGAAGATGAAATCGCCGCACTGGTTGTTGACAACGGATCCGGAATGTGCAAAGCCGGATTTGCTGGAGATGACGCTCCTCGTGCCGTCTTCCCCTCCATCGTCGGACGCCCCAGGCATCAGGTGAGGCACTGTTTTTTGCATTTAGATTTTTAAATAAAATGTATGTGTTCATGACATGAGTAGTAATGTTTGAATTTTTGCTTTTAGGGCGTGATGGTCGGCATGGGACAAAAGGACAGCTACGTTGGTGACGAGGCCCAGAGCAAGAGGGGTATCCTCACCCTGAAGTATCCCATCGAGCACGGTATTGTGACCAACTGGGATGACATGGAGAAGATCTGGCATCACACCTTCTACAATGAACTGAGAGTTGCCCCCGAGGAGCACCCCGTCCTGCTTACAGAGGCCCCCCTGAACCCCAAAGCCAACAGGGAGAAGATGACCCAGGTAAGATGTAGGGAAGTCCCTGTAGAATTGACCTCATTTCCTCTCTCTCCATTTGATTCTCATTTGCCTTCCTCCCTCTCTCCAGGATCTCTCTATGAGATGATCTGTCATCAACAGGTCTCTTGACTGTGTGCCTTTTTCCTTCCTTTCTACCTGAACAGTAGATTGACATGCACAAGTGTGAAGGAATGTTGAATTTCTGCACCTTGTTTCTACTAACTTCAATCTGATCCTCACATTTAATGCATGCAGAAATGCAGTGGTCACCAAAGGTAATGAACGTCATGTTATATGGCCGTCATTCTCAAGTGTCCTCTTCTGCCCACAGATCATGTTCGAGACCTTCAACACACCCGCCATGTACGTTGCCATTCAGGCTGTGCTGTCCCTGTACGCCTCTGGTCGTACCACCGGTATCGTCATGGACTCCGGTGATGGTGTGACCCACACAGTGCCCATCTACGAGGGTTACGCTCTGCCCCACGCCATCCTTCGCCTGGACTTGGCTGGCCGTGACCTCACAGACTACCTCATGAAGATCCTGACAGAACGTGGCTACTCCTTCACCACCACAGCTGAGAGGGAAATTGTGCGTGACATCAAGGAGAAGCTGTGCTACGTCGCCCTCGACTTCGAGCAGGAGATGGGCACCGCTGCCTCCTCCTCCTCTTGTTAATGGCTTCCCCCCTCTTATTTTCAGTTCAGCCATGGAAGATGAAATCGCCGCACTGGTTGTTGACAACGGATCCGGAATGTGCAAAGCCGGATTTGCTGGAGATGACGCTCCTCGTGCCGTCTTCCCCTCCATCGTCGGACGCCCCAGGCATCAGGTGAGGCACTGTTTTTTGCATTTAGATTTTTAAATAAAATGTATGTGTTCATGACATGAGTAGTAATGTTTGAATTTTTGCTTTTAGGGCGTGATGGTCGGCATGGGACAAAAGGACAGCTACGTTGGTGACGAGGCCCAGAGCAAGAGGGGTATCCTCACCCTGAAGTATCCCATCGAGCACGGTATTGTGACCAACTGGGATGACATGGAGAAGATCTGGCATCACACCTTCTACAATGAACTGAGAGTTGCCCCCGAGGAGCACCCCGTCCTGCTTACAGAGGCCCCCCTGAACCCCAAAGCCAACAGGGAGAAGATGACCCAGGTAAGATGTAGGGAAGTCCCTGTAGAATTGACCTCATTTCCTCTCTCTCCATTTGATTCTCATTTGCCTTCCTCCCTCTCTCCAGGATCTCTCTATGAGATGATCTGTCATCAACAGGTCTCTTGACTGTGTGCCTTTTTCCTTCCTTTCTACCTGAACAGTAGATTGACATGCACAAGTGTGAAGGAATGTTGAATTTCTGCACCTTGTTTCTACTAACTTCAATCTGATCCTCACATTTAATGCATGCAGAAATGCAGTGGTCACCAAAGGTAATGAACGTCATGTTATATGGCCGTCATTCTCAAGTGTCCTCTTCTGCCCACAGATCATGTTCGAGACCTTCAACACACCCGCCATGTACGTTGCCATTCAGGCTGTGCTGTCCCTGTACGCCTCTGGTCGTACCACCGGTATCGTCATGGACTCCGGTGATGGTGTGACCCACACAGTGCCCATCTACGAGGGTTACGCTCTGCCCCACGCCATCCTTCGCCTGGACTTGGCTGGCCGTGACCTCACAGACTACCTCATGAAGATCCTGACAGAACGTGGCTACTCCTTCACCACCACAGCTGAGAGGGAAATTGTGCGTGACATCAAGGAGAAGCTGTGCTACGTCGCCCTCGACTTCGAGCAGGAGATGGGCACCGCTGCCTCCTCCTCCTCTTTGGAGAAGAGCTACGAGCTGCCTGACGGACAGGTCATCACCATTGGCAATGAGAGGTTCCGTTGCCCCGAGGCCCTCTTCCAGCCTTCCTTCCTTGGTATGTTCAGTGTCGAAGCCTAAAAATGCACGATGCATCTCTTGAAAAACGCACCTGCTAACAGTTGCTTGCGCTCTTAGGTATGGAGTCCTGTGGCATCCACGAGACCACCTACAACAGCATCATGAAGTGTGACGTTGACATCCGTAAGGACCTGTACGCCAACACTGTGCTGTCCGGCGGTACCACCATGTACCCTGGCATTGCTGACAGGATGCAGAAGGAGATCACAGCCCTGGCCCCATCCACCATGAAGATCAAGGTGAGAAACTGCTCCCCCCCGCAGTAGTTGAGTCAAGTAATAATTGATGCGTAATTTGCTCATGTTTTGTTTTTGTCCTTTGCAGGAGATCACAGCCCTGGCCCCATCCACCATGAAGATCAAGGTGAGAAACTGCTCCTCCCCCCCGCAGTAGTTGAGTCAAGTCATAATTGATGCATAATGTGCTCATGTTTTGTTTTTGTCCTTTGTAGATCATTGCCCCACCTGAGCGTAAATACTCTGTCTGGATCGGAGGCTCCATCCTGGCTTCTCTGTCCACCTTCCAGCAGATGTGGATCAGCAAGCAGGAGTATGATGAGTCCGGCCCCTCCATCGTCCACCGCAAATGCTTCTAAACAGACTGTTCCTCCTCCCCTTCCCCAACCAAATGCCCAACATTTTCAGCTCTGTGCAAAACGACCACAACATTATCATACATACTCAAGCGCAGAGCCTGTTGACCAATTCACTGGCATGGCTTCTGTTAGTTTTTGGCGCTTGACTCAGGATTTAAAAAAAAAAACTGGAACGATGGCGACAGTAATGTTTTTGGCAAGGTTCAATAAAGCACCCCCCAGGGTTTCTGCAGTTGCATCTGGGGACTTAACATTTCTTTGAGTCATTCCAAATGTCTAACTGCATAAGACACATGATTCCAAATGGTAACTGCATTGTTCAGACATGTATTTTGCCTCTGTGAAGGCTGCCCAGTGGTTGGTGCATACTTAACATGGTGGTAGTGTCGCTTGTATGTAAATTATGTCTGGGTTTTTTGTACTTTCAGCCTTAAAAATATCTTGGTCCTGTTTATTTTTTTGTTATGCAAAACCCAGTTGTGACCTGTTCTTCCCCCTGTTGGCAGTTTCATCCCCAGGGTGGTGGGGCAAGGGGTCAAGAGGTGATGGGGTAATGTGGGGTGCCAGATTAAGTACACTGACTATCCCAATAAAGTGCACATGTGTTCAGACCAGAAATTGCTGTTTTTTTTTTTTTTTGTTTTTCCCAAATGCTCAAACTTGACTCTTGCTTTTTAACATGGTTTTTGGTTGGCAAACATTACAAAAAACACATTTTGACAGCAGCTAGGAGTAGATTTCTTGCGTGCATAGGTAATTCAAAGTAACTTGATTTAACTGGTACTACACAAGCTTTTACGCTTTCAGTCAGGAAACAGGTGTCAAATGACAAGTGCTTATAGATAACATCAAATAGGCTAATTTTGTTACCATGGTGCTATTGGGCAAATCCATAATTCGCCAGAGTTGATAAAACCTAGTTGCGTGTGCAATTGCAATTTCTATTACCTGTATATTCGCTTGGGCTAAAAGTGCTATAATCACGCCTTACATGCAGTGTCATATTTCGACCACTAGAGGGCGCACAAAACGTCATGCAACAACTTAGGTCTTCGCTCAAACCCGGTTCGTTTTTTTTTAATGTTCATGGTCAAACGCTCTTCGCAAAATACATCATCCAATTTAATTTTTAATTAAACAATTTACAAAAACGGAACCAAACAGTCCTATTTTTTTCTAGATTTTCCAAACTGGTCAAGTTACCACCCGCAACATAGCAGGAATGTTAATCCAGTATTAACTACTGTCAAACGACGTGCAATTATATAGATTGAAAGCATCTGTTTGTGCACTATGTATGGTTAGGCAACAAGGGATTCGGGAGGAAAATTGCATTATAACGCGAGTAGTGGAAAATTAAAGTAAATCCTGAGGACAGCACACGATAAAGTGGGATAAAATGGATGATACTACTGTTTCACAATTGCAGCATATATCCAGCAGTAGCTCAAGTAACACTTAGCGCCCATTCATCAGGCTGTCCTCTGCTATTAATGAAGTTCGATCGGCTACTGCTGCATAGCGGAACTGGTGATGGATGATCATCCGAGGTGGCTGTTGAAGAAAATACAAATGGACGTGAACGTGCATTTATGGAGCAGATGTATACATACGCGAAGGTTTGTGTGCTGCTTTTATGAGTTCATACTTGCATTTGTTAGGCTGAGATGCATGTAAACAGTCGTCTGGATTTACATTTTAAGAATGCTATACTCACTTCTCTCCAGCGGATGACGCCAATGCACCACACAAAACCGTGTTTGGCAGACCGAGGCGTGATACCGCTACTGCCCCTCTTCGTATTATCCTCAAGAGTGTTGAGAAGTCTCCCTATAAACATCGAGCGTCGTATCATAGTTATAATTAAAAAGGGCAGCAAGATGCCCCGAATTGTTAGCATGTGTGCTTCATTATCCCGAGGTTCAGGGTTTGAATCCCAAGTGCGGAAGTTGCAAATTCTCCCCGTGCTTGTTTCCACATTCCAAAAACTAGCATGGAAGACTTTAAATGACCCAAGGGCATTAATGCTTGCTGGTCAAATGCAAAGTGGTAGCAGTAGTTTTGTTCGACAGAGTGACCTGCCTCGCCACGTTAAAGTGTCCAAAACAGTCTATTAATTTAGCAAGCGAGTCTCACCACTGCGTGGGAGCCGACAGAACAAGAGATGGCTAAATTTGAATAAATAGATTGCTTGTGGGCCTTAGTCATTTAGTGCTGATGATTCCCGATTGAGTGTCTTGATTATTGCAGCTTTCAAAGCTAAAAGCAGTGAGCTGGAAACTGTAATATCTATCTGTTGCCTGGCAACAACAAAAAAAAGACAGTAATCCAGGCAGCATGTTGAAGATAATTAGAGAAGCAATGAGAATTGTGCAAATAGAAGAAACACAAATACAAAGAGCAAACCTGATGGGAAATTCTGAGCAAATGAAACGGAAAATGGAAACTGTATCAGGTTGGAAACCTTGCAGATACTTTTTAGTGCATCGCCACTGTACAACAGCACAACCCGTGTTGCATTTGTGGTTTTGCCCAAGTGTTTTCTCAGAGCTCAGACTGCACACCTCCTGCAGGAACACAACACCTTACATGCAGCTGTAAATTGTATCTACTTATGGAGTGTGTCTATGCATTTTTGTAACGTGACTTGTGGGTGTATGTGTGACAGTATGTTAGTTCTCCAGCACCCAACACCACCACCCCCGCCCCCCAAAAACACACACATACACTCCACTACCACCGCACCCACCTGCAGTAAAACCCTGCAAGGCACCAACTGGTGATTGACAGGTACCCCACGAGACCAGTATACTGCATCTATGTTGAATTGCTTGCTATGGGGGCTAGTTGTCAGTCATGGCCGAGGCTCACGTTTATTGCGTTCGTGTTCTTGCTTCAGACCATCAGAAACCACAATGCTGCAATTAAGCCTTCCTCAGATTAGTCGTGCTGCAATGCAGTGGTACTTGCCTCAGTACCAATAACAGTACGGACCGGAGCATGAATTGGCCCCCGTGGGCATGCGAGCTCTCTGCGTAAGTGTGTGAGCAGAATGGGTGGGGTCACCGATGAGATCTGTTATTTATTGCTGCTCCCGCGGTTGGGGAAAAGAGGTGTGAATGTGTCTCTTCTGGCTTTATTATGAACTTGAGGGTTGGGTGCTTATGCAGGGGACACGTCTTCCTGTATTTGTTTATTTACACGTCCTTTCCAGAGAGCAGTGAACCCCCCCAACTGAATTAATCAATGCTGTCTCTGTGCTCTGTCCCCTGTGAGTTTATGCAGCCACATGCCTAATCAGATATTCTCGTCACCAACTCTATAATCATTTACCATGTATTGACTACAACCTCCAAGAATATTATTCCGAGAGGTGGTTTGAAAAAGGTGAAATTGGTAACCAATGTAGACGTTGTGTTAGAAGCGCGCTTATGCTGTGACCTTTACTTATTGACGTTAAGATGTGCAATATTGCTTCTGCAGCATTTGTGGCTCTCGCTCATGATTAATATGTGGTTTTCTTCAACAGCTCAAGAAGGATTTGTGTATAGGTGTGAAATGAGTCAGTTGAAATACAAAAAACAGATGAATGCATTCACACGCTCCACTGTATAACCTTGACTATGAACTGAGATGTTTGTGGCATTACATCGAATTACAAAAGTGACATTTTGGATTAGCTTGCATTGCTGTGAGAACGTTACATGATGTATGACATTTGCGATTCTTCATTGCAGAGACTGCAATGACATCAATTGGTTTTCAAGAGTCCATTTCTTTCACAAATAAGCGTATGTGCGTGCAATGTATTCCGGACTGTTTGGCATGAATGAGTTTTTCATAAACCACCCACCTCCAAAGTGGTGATAAGACCACCACCATCGCCGCAATATATGACAAGAAAAACAAGGAGAAGATGAAACCTGCCAAATGTTTGTGGGATAAAGAGAGCAACAATGGAACCCTAATCTGCACCCATTGTTTGGATTCTCAGTTGGAGGGAGGAGAACAAAGAGCGCCTCGGTTCCCTCGGAGGGCTCAGTACGGGACATCGCACACATCTGATCCCAGTCTGGGCACTCCCTCTCCGGGTCCTGTCGAGGATGAGAGTCGCCGGGAAGGCTCTGGATCATCAGCCTCTAGTTCTACCTCATCCGGGAGACGTTATCCTTTCTGTGACTAGGGGTGATCTCACCGAACCGCGTGTATATAATTTGAGTTGTTTATCCCTCCGTTTATTGGCGAACCAGGACGACATTCTCGCTTCACGGACCTACAACCTCCTGGTTTACTCTACCGGAGGATCGCCTTGAAACCGACACTGCAAAGGGAGGAGGGGCTGGAGGAATCGGAAAGGGGAGGGGGGGGGGGGGACATGGGCATCTTGAAACAGGGTCAGATTTTTTAATCAACATTTGTTGGAACTGCATAGGGCGCACTCGCGCAGCTTCAGAGCCAGTGGAAAGGAGGAGAGGAAGAGGAGCGAGGGTGTTGCGCGGATCGCATGGAGCTTTCAGTAGAGCTTTTGCATAAGCAAACTAAAACAACGACATTTTCCTCCACTTCTGATGCAAATTTAAGCAAACTGCGCTGCACCACTATCCTTGGGCCTGTTAGGGGTACATTTGCATCTCGAAGACTCCGTTAGATGAAAGCTGGAAAGCTGCCACACACACACATACATACATACATACATACATACATACATACATACATACATACATACACACACACACACACACACACACACACATATATATATATATATACTGTATATATGTATTGCTAGGTAGATATGCATAACAGCATGTAAAATGCAAGTTACTCTAATGCACTTGCAGCTAAACTACGTTAAAAACACTGCAGCGTTTTCTACATTTCCCCTGTGCTTTTTGCGCCTCTATTCTAATCAGCGTGGAATTGGTGTGCGTGGGGGTCGTCTTGCACCACTACCGCCACCAACCATCACAGCAACCCTCAATTTTGATCGCGTAGTCCACAGTAGTGAGGGGAGAAGAGACCTTGAAACGAACGGCCAAGCCTTTCTCGCTCCATAATTAGTTTTATAGTACTGGTAAAGGGCCAGTGTTTAGAATTTGATCGACGTGAAATTTAGCCAATCACAGAGTAGCTGACGGGAACAGATGGGCGGAGATTTTTAAGTAGGCGGTGCTACCGAACTGGGCGGGGCTTGCGAAACAATGCTATGTTTCATTGCCGAGGAGTAAACGGGTAAGACTAGGGCTCTCTCTTCCCCTTTTTACCCCCGCAGTCCACCTTCGAGTGAGCCTGGAATGGACTACAGCAGTTCTCCAAGCAACTTGGACGCACTTTGCGAGAGTCATAGGCATTTTTAAATCGTGTGATCGCTTCCTTTAAACCCCTCCCTTTTCAAGTAAGCGCCTTTGACTTTGTTTTCGTACTTTTTCCTCGGTCGCCTTACAGAAGAATTGTTGCGATTTCTCGTTATTTCTCACAATCAACCTTGTTTTTGGTCGGGCGCGGAGGTTCTTGGCGGTTAACTGAGGAGTAAAAAGATGACTTTTTTTATAAACACCCCCCCGTGCCTGGGAAAGTTCAGCCGTTAACGGAATGGTTGCAAACTTTGAAACGTGGCTCTTAATGTCGTGTTTCTCCGCCACTAAAGTACGCAGATCACAGCCCCAAATATTGTCTTAACTCCGCGTACGGATTCATTAATATTGCCTGGGGAAGTACATGTATGTTTGCGCTGCTGGTTTTAGAAAACAAAACTGTTGTCGAGCGAGCCTTGTGCAAGTGATCCTCCTGCCCGCCTGCATATCACGAGTCATAGCTGTAATGTTTGTTTGCATCATTTGAAGGTTAAATCCACTTTCACTCTCTTTTCTCCTTTTTTTACAGTGCGCCGTGTTGAATCACATTTCTGTTTAGCGGCGATTTAACGCTATTCATTTTTGTTCCGCGGATGCATTCATAATTTTAAAGAAGACGAGTCGCAGTTACTCGCAGCAAGTTAACTTGTGTATTTTCGCGTAAAGGCAGTCACGATATGTGCAGATGGTAGTCTTCCACTTATTTCCCCACAGTAATTTATTTTAGTTTTATTTTATCTTAAGACTCCGCGCTAGCTCGCAGAAAGCTCATTTACAAAGTAGGTCAAACTCGTGCGAAAAATTGACTCAAAGAATATATGTATATCTATCGACGACGTCTTTTGAATGTAAATGAGATTTTTCTGTCTTTAAACTAGCACACATACGTTCCCGATAGCCCCGGACTAAAATTGTGTGCAACAAAACGCCACCATGGCTGTGACTAACGACTGCTATCTATTTACAACTTTTTTTTTTTATTTTCGAATGTGCACTCGCTGTATATTTTACGCTGCATTCGGTTTGCGTAGTGACTACGACTTAAAGTATGAAATTGGGTTAAATAAATAAAGCTGGTCGATGTAAAAACGCATTAAAATATGAACGCATGCGTTACCATGCAATAATTGCCGAATATGTTCATGGCGGCGCGGAGCCACTGACCGGTGCGCGCTGGTCGCGTTTCCCCGGGACGCGAAGCCCTGTAGCGGCTGACTGCTCGCTGCGCATCGGTGGGGGCGGAGCGCCTCTTTTATGCTTTAACACCGAACCACAATGTTGTCGATTTCGGTACAATCGCGATTAAATGATTGACCTTGAGTTAAACTCTTATATTAGTAGCAACGAACTCTCAGTCCGTTTTAAGTGGGTTTTTTCCACGAACTGCGTCATTGCACCGATGCGCCGCTTGGTCGCCGAAATAATGAAAAATACGCACGAAGGAATCTGTCTATTTTTTTATAAATGTACGTTTTCTGATATTTTATATCAATTGATTGCTTTTTTTGTTTCACAGGTCATCAGAATGGCTGAAAATGAGTCCGGATCTTCCGGACCACTAAAGACATTATTCATATTATTACTATTGCTATTATAGCCCAAACTGCCTTTTTTTTCGGAATAGGTCGCCTCTCCGAAAGGACAATTTCTTATCCTAACTTTCCTTGTTGCGGATAATGGATGGCAGAGATTTCGGAGCTCCACGATCCGTCCACGTACCTCCCCCTTTGCTGGCGGGGCTCGCCGTGGAGCCTCACCGACTCGGGGCTGCAGGAGCAGCCGGGAGGATCCCTCCTTCCTCCGGCCACTTGGCCGCGCCTCATCCGCCGCCCCTCCACTCGGGAAAATTCTTACCATCGGCTATTAACCTCCACGGACACCACAGTGAGTATATAATCTTGCTCTACTTTAATGCCACCAGAGTGCCATAAAATACACTCCTAAGGATTAACTATTAACGTCAAAGGCGGACTGTTTGTGTCGCTTGGCATGCGCTTTCATAACTGGATGATGTTATAATGTTGGAAATTAGGCCAGATGTCGACTTGTTTTATGGAGGCAGCGACTGTAAAAATGACAATGGCAATTATAAAAAAATAAAAACTCAAAAAAATCCGAGGCCAAGTTTGAGATATGAAAGTATGACAATGTGTGAAGGATTCCCACGGTTTTCGATGGGCAACACATGAGTGGAAAAGTACTTGGCCCAAACAGGAGCACAGCAGTGGGCAGGCCAGAGTGCAGTGCACTTGGATTGCATGTAGACCATTAAACCGCCGTTCGTGTTCCAAATGTTGCTTGTGCGTGTTGTCAGAATTGGACTGCTCGACGTGTGATGTTGCAGCAATGTGATACTTGGACTGCTGGCTGAGCTGGATTGCAGTGTTTATTATCGTGACAGTGCATCTGTACGGTTTGGGAGCACTCCTCTCTGGGAACATTCTGCCCGTGGCTGTTTCTCTTCTTTCCATTTCTCTCGGTCTCTGTGTTGGGAAATTTACATGGAAAGGGCGAGCCGATTGCTCTTCTGCGTTTTCCGGATAAAGGGACTTTGCTGTAAACCATTAAAAGCAACCTCCTTGTGTTATTGGAGCTGATTAGTGAGTGTTTTTTCATGACTTGACCAGTCGGTAGATCAAATGCAGTGTTTGTTATTCCCCTCTGAGCTGGTGATTTACCGTGTAGTTGCACCGCCTTGTCACGTCTGCTCATGTTATTAGTAATGGAAGTTTTGTATATGTGTGCATAGCCTTGTGGCCAACCAGGGGAACGTCCAGAAGCCTCTCGTTCTAAACATACGTTGTATAGAGGAAAGGTTACAGCTGTAGGAGTTTTTTTTTTTTTTTTTTTGGGTGGAAAATGGAAAGTCTGACAAATACTGTCATCGTGTTACATCCCCCCCTGAAGTCATGTAGCTGCAGACAGATATACAATTACAGTTTCTCTGGTTTCTGTTCAAGGGTAAACCCCAAGAGATGCTAATGTTTCAGATGAGGGGCCATTCTTTCGATCTTATTGTCAAATGTGGTTTGTGTGTAGCTCGTGTCACGTTGGGTGCAGTGGATGATGAAACCTCTGAGATGAACACACCACATTTTTTTTTCTACACTTGGTTGACTCCTGATTTGTTTGAATTTGGAAGAAATGAAAATGGGTATGGGGGGAAAACATGTTCTAGAGTAAATTTGTCGCCGTCATCATTGCTATTCAGTGTACAGGCAATGTTTTGTGTCATGGTTTTAACTGTCAAGCAAGTTGGAAAAGAAACCGCACGCTGTTAATATTTAAATGCAAAAACAATGCAGAGGTGACAAGACATCGCTCTGGTCTTAAAAGTAAAAACACAAAGGTCTGCCTTAAGTGTGATAACAATTCGCTGTACCGAGGTGCGTCAGCATGCGTGACGGCAGGATGTCATCGGCTTGAGAGGCATGTTTTTTTTTTTTTTCCTCCCAGAATTGTGCAGCTTCAGGGACATAAAGCTTTCCAGGTAACACTATGCTACGTGTCTGGTAAAATGAAACAGGACCCTGTAAAGAGCATTCATTTGTCAACACGCACGCGCACGCACTCACTATGTCAGCCATGCTATCAGCATGCGGAGCTAATAGTATATTGACTGGGTGTGTTGCAGCTTGACCGTTTTTTTTTTTTTTTTTTTTAATCCAGATGCGCTTTATAGTTTGGAGCGCGGGAAGGAAAACATTCCCAAGCCAACTCATCAGAGCAGTGAACATTATTTTTGAAATGTTTGATTTAGGTTGACGCGGCTGCGATAGCGCGCAGTTAAAAATGACACAGTACCACTTGTTTTGAGTACCCGTGTTTTCAGAGTGACTAACACAGCAGGCGTTAGGCAACAGTTTGTGGCTCTGCAGCCACAGTGCACTCTGTATTGGGCGGCGCCTCAACCAAAAAGTCCTCAGGACGTGCGTTTGGACGAAGCGAGAAATGGTCCAAACCTTTTGCCGCTCGTCTGCAGCTCGTTAAGAAAGGACAGGCACGGACGGACGGGGTGAGCTGTGGAAACATATAGCTCGCATGGCTGACAGTCAGGGCGAGCCTAACGGTACGGGAAAGTAAGTCTGCAAAACCTGACGTCAAAACCACAGACCGGAGGAGGAGGGGGCACCTCCAGTCGGTGTGCAGGCCAAAAATCCAAAAAGTTCAAAGAGCAGCAGATTTGCGAATGGGACACGTTTTCAACAACTTCTCCTCAAGTGGGAGTCAAACAAGCATGATTTTTTTTTTTTCTTTCCACAAGTGAACCTGTGCACGACTGTTTGCGTTTAATGAGGCAATTATTCAATAGTGTTGTTTATAGACCGGCCGCAAAGTACGCAGCTGCATGGAATTAAGAAATGCTTTTAAATGCGCTCAAACAGTGTAGTATGTTAAAGGCTATTCATGAATTTGAGATTTGTATGAAACAATCATTTATCTAATCTAAAAAAACGAATGACGATAAGATTTTTTTTTTTTTTTTTTTAAAGATTTGTCTAACCCTGGAGAACCCAAGAACCCCTTTCTTCTTTGGAAAATGATGAATTATACATTAAATGATTGCTATATGTTCACTGAACACCAAGATGTGTTTTTTTCAAATATTTAATGCTTTAATTCTAATTTATAATTAGGACCAAATGTGACCCTTTGGGATTTAAGGGTAGCATTTGAGTAGGAGAATTTATAGGGGCCAAATTTGACCCCGTGGGTTCTCCAGTTTAAACTTACTCAAGTGGCTCCCAGTGATGGACTTTGGAGTCCAACACAAGTCATCTCTCCGCTACGATATAAAAACTGGCGTGCCTTTATTTGCACCAGCAGTTATCCGGTGTAATCGTTATGTGCTAGCGAGCTATGCCTACACCCCGAAAATGCATTGTATCATCCCCTTCCGATCGTTCGCTGGCATTGCCGCTTGAGAGTTTCGGTGGGCCAGGGCTCTGCACTGGTGCGACTGCTTTAGAGCGCCTCGTTGTCAGCCGCGAGTGCGCACACATCACGGAGAGAAGGCAGACAAGTGACTCGGTGTGCGGTCAAATGTCACAGCTAGCATATGAAAAGGGGGCTTTACCCTGGCGTGGCTGCTTTCGAGTCCCTCGGCACATTGGAAAACCTCGACGAGCCGGTCGGATATAGTCCACCCACCGGGGGCTTTAAGCGAATATATTTTTGCTGCTCAAAACATGTCATTCGTATGAATGAGAAGAGAGAATAGCTTGATTTTTTTTTTCCAGCCCCATTTTATATACTTGGGGATTTCTTAAAAAATATTTAAAATTTGGCAGGTGTGTGTGGACAATGTCCAGGTGTGTACAGGGAGAGTTATTCAACGAAATTGACCCAAAGACTGTTCCAATCCAGGCTGACGGTTGAAACCCTCCTTATGAAACCGGGGATGCGTGTTGGTTTCTGCCCACACACTGACCCTCTCACTTACTGACTCTTCTCGTCCGCACACTCGCCAGCCCACACGCCGCCATATGAAACAGGCCGTTTGGCTTTATGGCTGCTCTTCAATATCATATCCCTACAGATTACATCAACCAAACAGGATTGAGATGCCGGTCCCGTGCTTGCAATAATAAAACGCTGGCTCCGCGACATGACAGTTATTTGGTAATTGCAAATGGTAGCAATGTTCCACTTTTAATTACCACAAACGGCTTGAACTCAAGCACCCAGTGAGTCATCAAATAAGCCCGGCTGGTGTTTTTGTTGTATGGAATTGAAGATTTTTTTTTTTCTCCCCCCTGCTTTCACTTTTGTAGCGAACTATTACACCCTCGCGGGGGTCTGCCATAATATCTTTTTTACACTACCTGTAAAATCTGTCTGGCGTTTTTCAGATCTTTTTATTTTTGCTTTGTTTTTTTGTCCTCTCGTTTGGAATGGAGGCCTAAGTCACTCAGAGGTGGTACCAAAGCTTGAACAGAGCCGGTACGTCGCTTCTCTAGTGGAGTGCCAAAAACAATAACGTTTAGCACCTGACATTCGCTTCTCCCTGCTATGTTGAAAGCAGTTGTTGTCGCACCGCAAGTATTTTTACACACACCAGATGCTGGCACTGATTTGTCGGTTGATATGTGGCCGTGTGAAAGTGCACACAGTTGCGGTAATAGATTTGCTTCGCTGGGTTCTGCGCAGAAGGCAGAGACGACTTGACTCGTCGACTCATCAGCAACGGTTGTCGCCGTTAGTTGACTAGCAAGCAAGCGGCCGCTCTTATAAAAGTCGTCATTAGCTTGTATTATTTAAGCTGTGTACAAGTGAATCATGGCAATTAAGATTTAACTTCTGTTCAACTTTGTATCCGCATTCCCGACATGTTTGTGAATAATGGCGCAATTTAAATTGGCATTCATATTTAGTGCATTTTCGCTGGGTTCTGCGCAGAAGGCAGAGACGACTTGGCTCGTCGACTCATCAGCAACGGTTGTCACCGTTAGTTGACTACCAAGCAAGCAGCCGCTCGTCCCCCACCTTTACTCACATTTTCAACCCTTAATGCTCACTCGCATTGCATTTCCCAGCGAGTATGCCGATTTCCCCCGCCCTCCCTACAACAACTGCCGTGGCCATGATGAATGACATCGGCTGCGAGCGATGAGCGCCGTGGGTATAAATTCCAGATGCACATGCAAACTGGGGTGTCAGTTGCTGTCGAACAATTGTCCGTGACGGCAGACCACGACTTTGAAGTCAAGCTACTCCCAAATGTTTCGGACTTGGTTCCTGTAGCAAAGCCATACTTAAACCGGGCGCGTGCACAAGCGACCAAATGATTATTAGAGTGAAACAGGAGCCGATGACAGTCTTGAGACGAGGGCTTGAGAACAAAGAAGACTCACTTGGTTTCACATCCCCGGGGTGGGAAGTAT